AACAGGGCAGCAGCAGGGCAACAGAAATTTGGGATGAAATCAGCAGTCACAGGATCCAGACAAACTGCTGGAATCCAACTCACTGCCCAACAGTGGAAAAAGAGTGTATGCCAGAAGCATTCTCATCTTTATACTTTCGAGCTCTAAGTAAAGTATTGGGCATAATTAGGAATGTCTTCCTGGCATTTATTAAATGAAACATTATCTATGTATACGTGAAAGCATGTGTAAGCAGTGGATTATACAAGATAATCTATCAAATTAATGAAGTACATGTTAATGCATATTAATCTTGACTTTCCAATAAACATTTATTTGTATAAATACACTGGAAATAGGTTTACTAAACAACAAAACATCCAAAAAGACCTTTCTGGTTCCAAGTGTCAAAGGGTAACAAAAGGTTTTAAAATTAAAATTCTGACAAACTGTTGTTACTGTTCCTCTATTCTTTAAATCTAAAACCACCTCTTGGATGTTTCTTCTCAGAGAATTATTGACACAATGTAATCTTGGTTTAAATTTGGGTTTCTCCTCTGTTTCAGATATTATTGTTTGAGCTCTCACTTACCCACAAGCCACTTAAAGAATCACTGTTAACTCTGAGGTTTTATCATTGAGATCGTGTCTTTGGGGCTCATTAAGAACCTTTCCTAAGATTACAATGTCAATAGCACCTAATTACTGGACTGTGAGAAAGGTCTTCTTGAGTACATAAAATCTGTGGCTCTGCACAGCAGACAATGGGCAGCTTAGATCCCAAATTTTATCACAGTGAAGTAGCAAACAAATTAATAATGTTACCTGGGCTCTCCTGGGATAATTACTACTGCATAAAAAACTGCTTTGAAATTTTGTGATAGTATTGTACCTCATTTTTTAAATCCCGTGCAATTACAAGGACTTACTTATCAAACTTTCTATGCTTCACTAGTGGTCCTCGGTTGCACTCTTTAGATTTTGGGGGATTAAAATGTGCCACATAACAAGTCATTTTCCATTTTTAGGAAAGATGTGTCACCTCATAAAACATTTTAAAAGTAGACTTGTTTCATTTCACACTTTTCAAAATATATACTGTATATTTTGACACTAATGCTAGAATTTATTCTTATTAATGGCCTGGTAGCAAATTAGTCACTGAAGAACTAATGGAGAGATTAGTTTACTAGTGGTGTGTGCAGTGGATTCAAAGTTTGGTTGCCAGATTTTAACTTGGGAAGCTGGGGGATTATATTATGAACAACTCAGAAGGAGAGGTAACTTGGTACATCACATACATGATGCCATTTAATCCTCCTAACAAAGTCATAGGTGAGGATACCCTCTGAATTCTACATAGCACAGGCAACTGAGATGAAGTCACCTAGTGAGTAAGTGGCTGGAACTGGCATTAGAACAGAAATTTCTCCATTTCCTAAGTCTTTTGTTGGGTCACATTTTCCTCACTGTGTATGGTTGAGAATGGGACATATTGTTCTGTGATCCTTGGGCAAGTTAATATAATCGAGTGGTTACAGACTGGGGTCCAGGCCCACCTTGTCCAGCAGTGACTATACTTATTTGTGGACTAACTCTGGCATTTGTCTAAACTTCTCTGAATCCAGTAGTCTCTTCTGTGGACTGGAATAAAGCAAGAATGCTAACTTCATAAGGCTTTGTGAGTATTAGAGTTAAAAATTAAGACATTTAGAATAGTACATACATCGACTAAATGTTCACTTTACATGATTGTTAAAGTGTCTTGTGGAAACATGAGTGAATCAAGATGTGACACATATGTACAATGGAATATTACTCAACAATCATAAAAGAGAAACTCATGCCTTTTGCAGCAACATGGTTGGAGCTGGAAGGGATTATACTAAGAAAAATAAGTCAGAAAGAGATAGAAGACATGGGTTCACTTAAATGTGGAATATAGAGAAACTGAACACAGGATCAGGAAAAAGATAAAACTTGTGGACAGACAACAGATCAGAGACGTCCAGCAGAGGAAGGGGAGGAAGAGGGGTTGAGACAGGAGAGAGAAGAGACTGGGGACTATGGTGATGGTTCATGGGTGCTATGGTGGTGGGAGAGCGACAGGGACTACATCTGAGGGGAGAAATAAAAAATTAATAATGTAAAAAGTAAATAAATTTAAGAGTATCTTGTGTTCTAGGAAGTATAACCTAAGAACCTCAGTTTGAGGCAACACTGAAGATCCTGTAGCAGGGAAGCTAAATCTTCAATAGGCATTTAAAACATTAATGGGCTCTTTACAGAATTTGATTTAGGGCTGTCAGTAGATGACAGCCCCTTCTCGTGTTAGAGATGTCTGTAAGTCAGACATACTAACCAGGTAGCTGAACACCTCTTTAGTAATATATTTGTGAATTAATGCTTCAAACACTATATTCAATACAATATATTCAAAACACTATATTCAAAACAATATATTCAAGTATTTACTAGAGTCCTGAAAGTAATCTAATAATGGATTTGTGAATTGGAACTTGAAAACACTGACAATGTTGTCAATAATTTCCTAGGGCACTAAGCCTTCCAAGAAACCTGGACCTCTAAATGCCTCAAATGGTTAACACTGAATAGTGCAAATCATTAAAGACCTAGCTTTTAAATGGCAAGATTCATTTATGCCCCAAATTTAATTTGTAGTTCTGCTTTCCTCCTGACACTCATTTATTTGTTTTTACACTTGAAAAATAAAAAAAAATACATATTTTTGTTAAATTAGGATTGAAACTCAACTAGGCGGAAGCGTGAGTTAACTGGTTTATTTCCTCAAACTACCTTCAGTGGGAAGCGGGGCACATCAGCCTTGTATCGGAAAATGAAGTAGAAAAGAAATTTCAGGGTTATGTTCAGAGGCATCAGAGTCACGGATGCAATCTCTGCAATGCAGACTCACAGCAGTGAGCGTTGTGGCATACTAAACAATTGTGGATTCTAAAAAAATTACATCCAATTGTATTAGTAAAGCAAATAGGTGGCACAATCACTTTTATGACAATTTTTAGAACAGCATTCTCAGGGCTGAGGAGAAGGAATGACAGTGTTTGGGATTGCCTTATTTTCTAGGTGGTTATCAAGGTGAATTTATATTATTTCAAATGGACCTTTGAAAAATAGTTTACTCACCTGAGGAAAATCAAGTTGGATGCAAAATGCTCCACTGATTTTGTGGGGGGATGGATGCTGCTGTTAATTAAACTTCAGATAAAATTTCAGGCCAACCACAGGTTCTAAATTCAACAATCTCTATATATTTTAAAAGATTTATCTATTTATGCATACAGAACTGGGGTTTAGGCCAGAGGTGCAGGGGCAGTGAGAGGACTCACCAGAGACAGAGTGGGGAGCAGAACAGGCAGGTGGACGAAGTACACTGCTGAGGGGAGCAGCGGGCAGGTCAGGAGTGGTCTACTGCACCAGGTGGGTCACCTCTGCGGTGGGGATCGAACTCATGCTGAAGTGGCTTTAGCTTCTTAGTGCTGTGCTTTAACCTGCTGCGCCACCAACAATGTTGAGGGCCCACAACAATCTACATTTATGAGATTAAACCATGAGTCTCTCTCTTCTCTTAATGCCTTATGATATTTTAGATATAACTTGCCATGTTGGGATTTCCAACAACTCAACAGATCGGATCACTTAGTTAATGCTAGTGCCTTCAAAGATTTGCAGTTCTTTAAGCAAGTAAATACATGCTTGGAGTCCAGTCTTAGCATTACTATAATCCAAATGCCAGCCTGGGAGGCAGACAGCACCATGAATGATGAAAAACTCTTCTGTGCCCGTAGCAGGCACCTGGGAACAAGAAACTTCCTACAAACAAGCACTACAGAAAAAGTATCTATTTCAAAGGGTCAAGAACAGTGCTCCTCTTTGCTGAAGCTCACTTTAATTACCAAAAAGTTAGATTTAAACATTAGATTTTAGAATTTAGACTCACATTACACACTTCTCCATTACATAAAAAGTCAATATAAGAGTATACATTGAGGGGTCTCCCTGGTGGTGCAGCAGGTTAAAGCACAGCACTAAGAAGCTAAAGCCATTTCAGCATGAGTTCGATCCCCCACCCCGGAGGTGACCCACCTGGCGCAGACTACCTCTCCTGACCTGCCCGCGAAACCCCTCAGCAGTGTACTTCGTCAGTCGGCCTGTTCTGCTCCCCACTCTGTCTCTGGTGAATCCTCTCACCGCCCCTGCACCTCTGGCCTGTACCCCAGTTCTGTATGCATAAATAAATAAATCTTAAAAAAAAGTATATATTGAAACATTCCTAGACACAAAAACAGAGTTTACAAACATTCTGGTATCATCAACAGTAACGACATGCTTTTTTAATTCAATGTGTTCATTAGAACTTATTAATAAGTTTTAAGCAATGAATTTCTTTAAATACACTTACTCACTTTGCCACTCTAGATCATCAACTGGACTACTTATAATGTGGGAAATTTTGAAACAGGTGATAAGTAAGCATTTTTGGTTTTCAAATCTAGGGAAAATGAAGCCCAGCTATTTTCTAAAGACTTGTGGAAATTTATGGACAAATGTATTTCCAAATTCAAGAAAACTCAATTCGAAGCCTGTTATGGACTACTGGGAGGTAACATGTACTAGAAGTTGACCTAGTTTTGTTCTAATTCTTACGTTAGGAAAATGAATTTAACAAGAGCATTGTTTGTTGGCAGTTAAATAAACAGGATTTTAATTAAGACAATTTCAGATTTTGAAGTACGATTAATTGACTTAATCAGTATTCACTATTTAAATGAATTGATCAATATTCAGTGATCAATATTCAGAAATACATATCACATACTTTTATTCAGCACATCTGTGTATTAGTTTTATGAACAGAATGAAATAAATCATGCACTCACCCAGAACACTAAATACCTCAGGGTACTAAAGGAAAGCAAAGCTAATCTAGACTAAATATCTGTTCTGTGCATAAAATTTTATCCAACGAGAAAGACTCTTACATTTTGCCAAAGGTGGAAAGTGCAGCTGTTCATTGATTATGTCCATGTACTTGTGGTCAATCTGTAGGTAATCCAAAATGTTCCATTAGTGAGGGCTGAATAACACTGATTGATAAAATGTTTATAGGGAAAAAACATCTACTTACCATCGAAGGGTTATGTTCACTCCCAGAAGAAGTAGTGTCTGTCAAGTTTGTTTTGGACTGCACAACTAAAGGTTTTGTTTTCTGAAAGACATAAAAGTTACATACTATTTTTTTTTAGGGGAAATAATTATAAAATCAAGTGGATGTAGTCTCTTCTTTAGCTAGTAGTTAACGAACACATGAAAAATATACACTCACTTGCTTAAATATGGCAGAGGAAATTCTTTCCTTCCTGGTGACACAAGGACCTAAGTCTCAGCATTATGAAGCTAGCCACAGCCACTGCAGCATGAGTTTGATCCCCTCCAGGGAGGTGACCCACGTGGCGCAGCAGACCTCTTCTGACCCACCCACTGCTCCCCTCAGCAGTGTATTTCAGTAGAAATCTGCCTGTTTTGCTCCCCAATCTGTTTCTGGTGAATACTCTCCTCCCTCCCCCAAACCTCTGGCCTGCACTTCATCTTTTGTATACATTAATAAATAAAATAAATCTTTAAATAAATAATTAAAAAAACCCCTTCCTTATTAAAAGCAATCTGAGGGAAAATAATTCAAGGAAAATGTATTTTGTGGTGTCTCGTCAAACTCTCCTTAACCTTTTATTATCATTAACCCATTTGGCATTCACTGTTTATGACAGATCAGGGCTTCCCCTGAGCCTCCCAGCACTGGGAAGGCCCTGATCCCCAACTGCTGGATGGTGAAAAACCAAGAGGATCTCTTCTGGGAGTTTAGAAGCAGCAGTTTGCAAACAGAATTGTCACTTGATACTGTATAGTGCAAGGCAAATATGAAGTGAAAGATGACCAGGCGGAAGGATCAAAGCATGTTTACAAAAAGAAGACTGAGGTTCGTGAGGATAAGTGTGAATTGTTCCCTGGGGATAAGTGTGAATTTTTTCCTATCTAGGATTTCTTTCTTATTGGCATTTTATATACGTATAGGTGCATATATATGTGTGTGAACTTTTTCCATCCCCAGCCACACTGACTGCCCTTTTGTTCTCAAGGAACTATTTACAACATAGTAAGTAGTAATTTTGTGCATATATTTTAACCTCTGCTAATGGCATTGATTGTGTGATAGCCTCTTTCATTGATTCTAAGACATAATCTGATATTTTAACATTCCTAAAATTGGTATATATATCTTATAACAAATGAAGTATCACAATATAAATGACATTACTTTTTTTCTTTTATAGACATAAAATCCTGAAACAATGATGAGAACATGCTAGATTCAATGTCAAAAAAGTATACTTTGTGTGTTTCCCACTTCTTTGACTAAGTACTTTGTGCTAAGTGCATAGTACTTTCACTAAGTACTGTTTGCTTCAACATCTGACCATCTTGCTGTTTTCCTAAAAATCTAACACTGCAAAGTACATCATGCGACACAGCATGTTTCTTTCCTAGTTTGCTCAAGGTGGTTCAAGCTAAACCAACTTTTTGCACCAGCAGTTTCAATAGCTCACTAACCTGTTTCTTTCCTCACGCCAGACTTGTCCCTTCACAATGGTATGTGGTCTGTTCAAAGACTCCCAGTTTTACTCAGTAAAACAAATCAAAGTCCTATAACTCTCTTGACTACATTTATTACTATTTTCTTTTTTTCTTTGGCTTTCTGCTCTAGCCACAGTGGATGCTTTGTATCAAATAAGCCAGGTATATATGCTCTACCTTATAGCTTTCCAATGGGCCTTTCCTGTCCAGAAAAATTCATCTTTAGATATCCACATGGCTCTTCTCTTCACCACCTTAAAGTCTTTTGCGAAAATGGTAAGAGAACCCAGTGTTAAATGTATGAGGGCTGGGAATTTTAGTTTAAATGTACTCCATTGTTTCATAACTTCAAACAGTGGGTGTAGGAGAAAATGCCACCCTTACGGCAGGGCTAAAAACTGGGGTCAGGAACAGGTGCTCCACACATGAAAGTGCTTTCCAACTATAACTTGTAGAGAAGATTAGGCAATACACAAGAAAGTGCAGTTGACAACACTGGGCTTCACAGATCTCATCTGTCAAAGTTGAGAAAAGAGTCTATAAGACAGAACTATAAAAAAAACCAAAACTGAAGAATCAGTTAAAGAAAAAGTATCCTGAAGTAAGAAGAATTATATATATATAAAAATGACCTACTATGAACAAAAAGCATTGAACACTATTGTACTTACAGCATAATTGAAGGATGTCTCAGCAAGCATAGCAAACTGGCGGTACAATGTGTGCCTAGTAAACATCTCATTTTTGAGAACATAAAAGCTGAAATAAATAAAAGAAGTAAAATTAAATCTATAGAGACCATAATAATAGGAAACCAATATTGTGTTCATGTAGAGAAGAGCTAGAATTTTCTGTCTAGGAGAAGAGAGCTGTACACCAGTAAAATTTTAAAATATTAATATTACCTCTTTTGTTTAAATTTATGTATTTTCAGCCCTGAAATCACAGGCAATTAAGTGGCAACGCAGTATCAGTGCAACTGCAGGGCCAAGACTATGGTGGCCCAAGTTTTGGGGTTGAGTTGAAGTTGGTACGTCATGGTGATATCAACCATAAGGCAATCTATTCCTGAGTTGATGTCCTACATCTGTGCACCATTTGGGTCCAGAAAAATGACAATGATGCCATCAGTAGCTCTGCCAGTTATGCCACGCTTCAAGGAAGGCTGGTCTCTGCCCATTTGAGCACTTCTTATTTTCAGTATTCCTGAAAATAGGAAAAACTCAGCAGAAATGGAAAAGGGAGTCAGAGATGAAGATCTTGATTGGGTTGGAACTGAGTATTAATCATGAATTGACTGAGAAATTATTGGAATGGCTATTATCTTTCCTGGCTAAGGTGAAGCTTTTTCCTCCACTAAACAAAAATGAGTGCTTCGGTTCTAAAGTCAATTACAGTGAAATGAAATTACTTTTAACATACAAGTCTTCAACTATATAATTAATCTTCATACAGCATCATGATGCAGTAGCTGGATATTGTTGTTGTTGCATACATCACTTTGAATTAATATGTGGTGATGCAACAAAACCAGAGAGACACAACGTACTGTGTCCTGATAACATGTCCCAGTTAATCAGTCAATGAACTGAGAATGAATATATACACAAAACTAATGATATTTCCTGCTGTCCTAAATATTTAGATATAAACGTAAAATCTGCCAGAGATCAAAATGATGATTATGGTGCCAGTGTTTTGATTTACAACAAATCAATTTAAAGTAAAACTGAGATACTCTTGTAAGTGGTCATTGAAGTATAAGATGAATCCCATAGGGACAAATACAAAATAAATCTGAAGATGAAAATGAAGCTCACACAAATAAGTAAGAAAAGACATTCTGTTCTGTTTCAGAAGTAATAAAAAATCCACTTGGGAGGAAAATAAATTACTTGTTTCACCCTTATCTATATTTTGTCTTTATAATTCCTGTGCGATGTGGTTAGGATGGTAGCAGTAAGCACATTTTCCAGAGCACAGAGTAATTATCGTTACAGATGAACACAACAGTACATTTTATACCAGAAGAAGAGATCACCATCTGGTGAAGTTTCTGTTGTGTGAATTCTCCATGTGCCACCAGGGACAGCAGTGTACATGGAGTGTCACACACGCGCTATGCAGTTTGAAATGCAGCACAAATGTAGGCTATCCATGAAATCATCAGTGAGTTTAACACTTGACCTATCCTAGGACTTAGATCAACATGGAATCCATCATGTGTTGACTGATGCTTGATTGTGAGAGACTCTTGTAAAGGAACTTCCAACATGGGACAAAGAAGAGAATGGGGTGGGGGCGTTGTGGCAGGAAACAAGAGAAGAACATATGGATTTTTAATGTTAACATGTCAGGGCAAATAAGCATCGCTTTTACCTTTTCATAATATCATAAAGGTCACTTTCTTCATTTTTAAAAGGAGGAAGAGGAAAATGGATCTGAGAATTAAAGTGCTGGTGCTGTCTTGTCTAGAAAAAGGTAGAGGTTAAAGCATATAAAATAATTTTGCAAATATATAGACCCGTTAAATACTGTCCTGTGCAATGAGTAGAGAAATACTTTCACAGCCCTAGGGAAGAAGATGATATGGATCCAACCAAATCAGGTACCAAGGGATTTTGTAAGGTTATAACTTGATATGAGAAAAGAAACAGTCTTGTATTGGCTTTCCTTTTAAGAGACTATTCTATTTTTAGATCAATTATTTTACATTTCTTATTAAAAGTATATGAGGGCATTTTGTATTAATGTGTAAAGAAAATGCAAGACCTTCATTTTCCTTAAAAGATAATTAGTTGTATTTTTATAAATAGAATTTATATACATCACCACACTATACCTGTTCCTGAGAATATGGAATTTCTTTTCCCAGAGTTTGTTAATTCGTTCTGATTCCTTCCTAAACCTGTAATACATTTACAAATAGTTAGATAATGTGGTACTACAAATGATGATGATGAATAATTACTAACATACCTTTCTGCCTTCTTTTTCTCATTATCTAACTTAGCTTTTAATGTTTCTACTTGCTTCTTCAAAGCACTGTGTTCTTCAGCCTTTAATAGAAAATATATCACAAAGTTAATTACATGAACAATGTGCTCCATGTCTTCATAAATCTGAAAAGCTATTTACAGTAATAGCATGCAAGTTTTAGCTACTATCAATAATAAGGGAAATAAGTTTAGTTGCAAATTCTCGTGAATTGGAAGAAGTTAAATCTCATGATGCCATTTCCCAATTCATTAAAGGGACCCAAATCAAGACAATGCTACAAAGCCACTACAATTTATCTTCATCATCCCTCCCCCTTCCGGGTATCTCTTTTCATAAATAATTTTCCTTTTCTATTGTGGCTGCTTCCATTCTTCACCAGAGTGGGAGTGGCCCCCAGTTATTCTATTCCCCCCTTTAAAAAAAAGATTTATTTATGCATACAGAACTGGGGTACAGGCCAGAGGTGCAGGGGTGGTGAGAGGATTCACCAGAGATAGAGTGGGGAGCAGAACAGGCAGACTGACGAAGTATACTGCTGAGGGGAGCAGCAGGTGGGTCAGGAGAGGGCTGCCTTGCCATGTGGGTCACCTCTGGGGCGGGGATAGAACTCGTGTTGAGGTGGCTTTAGCTTCTTTGTGCTGTTCTTTAACCTGCTGCGCCACCAGGGAGGGCCCCTATTTCCTTTCATTAAAACTTTTCAGGAAAAGATCTGACCAACTTAGTCACTCTAAAGCTTTGTGCCATTTCTCAGCACTATTTATATTTTATAAGGGAACAAAGTTTAGCAAAGCTGTGGAATTATAGCAAAGTCATGAATGAAAGAAATGTGTTTGGCTACCACAGAGATACATCCGGGAATCATACTCTCTGAGCAATCAGGTCATCTGACTCTTTGTAAAACTGATTCTCAATACAACTGTCAAAACCATCACTGTTTCCTAAGAATAAGCAGCATCAATAGAAAAAATAGTTAGGTTAATAATAAGGATTATATCGGTAATATTTTACCTGAGCTACTGATGTATATATACTCCTTTCTTCTTGCATGGGAGCAGGACTTACATAGCTTTCCTGGCAAGAACATAAAACAAACATTATCATTTCAAATCAATTACAAAGCTGTGTGAGTTTTGCAGCTCACACAAAGGTAACTGTGACTTAAAATATGCCAACCATTGTCTCATGGGGGTCTTCACGGCCTCCTCTATTTGTTTATTTTTATGCATACAGAACCAGGCCAGAGGCGCACAGGTGGTGAGAGGATTCACCAGATACAGAGCAGGGAGCACAACAGACAAAGTGACAAAGTACACTGCTGAGGGGAGCTGTGGGGGAAGACAGGAGAGGTCTGCTGCGCCATGTGGGTCACCCTGCGATTGAACTCGGGCCCGAAACGGGTGAGGCCCCCTTTAACCCGTTCAGCACCATGGAGGGCCCGGCCTCGTCTATTTATTAAACTAGCACTTGCACACTGCATTTGCAATTAGATAGTTCATTAAATTAAATCGGATAGATTTATTAAAAGCATTTTTAAAAAATTCATTACTCTGCTGTTACATATGGTCAGATTTTACCATTATACAGTGGACAGTTATTTATCCAATGAGGTCACAAGCTTAAAATGTTATAATTTATTTATTTTTATTTTAAATGACAACTAGATGAATTTTACTACTATGCTGCTCTCAAGGCAAGGAGAGCAGTGGCAATGAAAAATATCCTTAATATATAAATCTGCTCATTAACTATTCCTATATTCCCATTCAACAGACAGGAAAAGTGCTCCTTATTACCACTTTTATCTTTGCTAGTGGGGGGTTATGACTTGAAAGGCCCTAGATCTGTTGCCCATCTTGCTGGTATGGACTTTGCTCAGGGGTACCTGAAGCCTGATGTGGAATAGGAATTAGAGAGTCTTGAAGAGTAAAAAAAAAATTGGAAGGGAGGGCTGGGGATAGAGACTGGAAAGTTCTATTAGAAATTGCAGGATTGAACTGAATTCAGAGTGTGACTAGGCAAAGTGTGAATTGGGGTGTCCAGCAGTGCACAAGGAGACCCAGACACTGACCAAGTTCTGGGGAAGAAGACAAAAAGAAAATAAGTAGGGTGTAACTTCCGTGTGGATCACCTGAGATATTCTTCAGGCTGCCTCAAAGCCCAGAATGTGGGTCTGAACCAATTTTACTGACATCTGGAGGGGCAGAATGAATCTGAGTAGTAACAGCTGCCACATAAAACACAGATGCGTTGAGGCAGCCTAAGAAACATGCAATGAATTTACCAAGACAAATAAAAAACATGGGGGTCACCAAAATGACATGAATCATGTACTTTTTGGGGTCCTTCCATTGACAGGTTTTCAAACACTCATTTGGACCAACACTCTGTCCCAGCACAAGGACACAGAGTGGACTCACTGCAGAGTGAGTTAAGAGTGGACCAAGGAAATCAGTGGGGTTAAGAGTCCCAGGCTTTGGAGCACCCCAGCATCTCAACAGGAGATAAATGAACGCGAATTAAAAAAATTAATCCACAGAAAGTTGGGAAAACAAACTGGTAAAGCAAGGTAGTTTCAATGTACAAAGACATTGTGTGTATTTCACTATATCCAAAGTCACTTTTGTAACACAGTTTATTTAAAGAAGACTATGTTTAAACTCACATACAATAAAAGTCAGTTCCAGTTTTCAAGGCTCCCTTTCCCTGACTCATATAATGATCAACTCTGCCATACTAGAGATAAGAATGTGCTAAAGCATATCTTCTGTAAAGCAAATACTTATTCAATCTCTCCAAAAGACAATATTTTTAAATTGATGAAGATAGCTTCTAATTAAAAAAAATAAAAAGCATGTAGAATGGAGTGTTTGTGTTCCAGTTTGAGTTGAACTTTCAACTTTATTATAGCACCTTTATATTGAATTCGGACTCTGTCTGCATTAAACTGTCATTTTGTTTTGTCAGCTGCTGACATTCCATTTTCTCTGGAATATGTGTGCTGATCTTTATGTGGCTACTTCATTGACAAATGCAAACATTAGACTGCTAAACAATAGATAGAAGGGAAATAAATGGTAATATTAACATAAAGTAGATAATGTCCTCAATAGGGACTGGAAATTAAATAATTATAACGATAATAAAAATTAATATTAGAAATAATCTATTATAGCTATTTCTCTTTGTACATATATCTATAACAAAAAATGTACAATTAAGAAGTAAGGTTCATTTAGACAAAAGTTATGATTCTTAAATGTTTCCCATTTTAAAACATAAAATGTTAAAAATATTTAATAAATATAATCTTCTAAATTAAGAATCAACAACGAAAATTTGTTATGACAGAAGATTAACCATATTCCTTATAGTATGCTTTTTCTTTCTCCTGTCATTGATTCATTACAATTTTTCTATTTGTGTGTGTGTGTGTGTGTGTGTGTATATATATACACATATAAATATATATGTATTATTTCATTGAAGAAAGTCAGGTATATAATTGATAATAGTAAGAGAAAAAAATATAAACAAACAGGACACATTAAAAGGCTTTTGCACAGCAAAATAAGCTATAACTTAAACAAAGGAACAAAAGCATTGGTGAAGAAGATCCTCAATCTATTTTCAATATTTTAAACAGCCTAAAAAAAGGATAACTTTATTTCCAAATAAAGTTGCATAGGCTAACAAAATTTAATAAGGCGTTGGATTTGACGGACATTAAAATAGATCAGTGAGATATCACTGAGGGTTATTGAGGAGGGTTGATCAGATATGCAGGTTAGGAGCAAGCTGTAATAGATGAATAAAAAAAGAGGCACAAAAATATTTTTGTGATGAAAAAGCAAAGACTACATAAAGGAAAAGAAAGGAGTATTAAATGTAGAAAATATAACCAGCTTCTATGAAAATACATTCATGAAGAAAGAAAATTTGTCATATGTTATAACTTATATAAATTTATTCCTGGATTTAAGGAGAATGTTGGACCTGAAGTTGTTATAGGGCAACCCAGTGTGAACTGGGCTGCCTATCTGTGGGTCCTCACCCACGGGCTCAAAATTTAATTGTACTGCAGGCACACAAAAAAAGGCCAATAATGGGTTTACTTACAAAAAGGGAAAGAAAAAGGAACAACCAGGGAAAGAGAGAGAGACACAAGGTAACTAGAGCACCCTACCAGCTCGGCAAACTTGGAACTCTACTGATAGCCACCAGCCAGGTGGTCTGGAGAAAGAGTGTGTGTAGTGTGTATTTATATATATATATATATATATATAAATGTGTGTATATATATAAAGAGAGTGTGTAGTGTGTATTATATTATACACACATCCCCCAAAGTCCCAAAATGCCTGCTTAGCTGCCCCTGGGTCCTCACAGTTCTTTCCTTGGTATTGCTGGGAGTTGTAATTTCCAATCACTGGATGGAGTCCAGAAAGCTGGAGTAGGGGGTGGAATCCACAGAACTCTGTAGAGTTCCCTTCCGACATCCTTTCCCCACAGTAATGATGCCTGAGGTTATCAAGACTGGAGAAACTGACAAGATGGCAGAGCTGGCAGAGCAGGGGCGACCAAGACCAACACCAGCATTGGAAGCAATGTTGCCCCTTCAGGCTAGACACTAGTCTTGCAAGTTGATTTTGAAGCAGTTCCACAGTAATGTGTCCTGTGATAGCATTTATAGTGCCAGGAAGTGGAACCAGTATATGAAGGAAGGGCAGATGTGATGACTAACAGGATGCCAAATACTCAGTTTCATGCGGTAGGACCCATATCTGCTCAGTCTTAGAACTCTGGCCAAATGAGTTGGTGTTTGAACTGTCCTCAATTCCTAGTGGGAACTGAAGAGAAAGTCACAGGGAACACCCAGGAAATGGAAGAAGACAACACCGCGCACTGGGTAAGATGGCTGCCCTGTGGCTGCCTGAAGTCGAGTGACGCTTCTTTTAGCAACAAGGTGATATGCCATGTGGTTGGGAGCGAGTGACTGCCCCCCCCATCAAGTAGGGTTAGGAATGAATAACATAAAGTGATACAAATCTCAAACTTATCTTTTCCAAAGTACCACAGCAATCTCTTAGATTCTTAAGTTAAATTATATTGAAATATTATAAACTCTACAAATAAAACCTAATCAGTGCCCCCAATAAAATAAACAAGATAAAAAATTGACATATGGTGTAAAAAACATATAAATTTATATAAACAACAAAAATATGACAAAAATAGAAGCCTTCATTTTTTAACAAATAACATTTTCCATTTGTGCAACAAATATTGAATATTATTTCACTAAAATATTTTTAATTCCAAATTATTACAAATTAGAAATTATTTATCTGATTTATCTAATAAATGAGCTCTAACTTATGTACTCTAACTAGCCTATTTATCCAATTAATCCAAGTATTTAATGCTCATCATATATTCAGAATAGTATTACTAATATCATTTATATATAATTATATAATATAATAATAATTAGTTAATGTAGAAAGTAAAAAGCTACCTTTCCATTGGATTCTAAATGTGATATTACTCAGATTCTTAATTTTGTTTTCTGAGAACAGAATCTACAGATGGATAAATTTTTAGTGTTAAATTAAAATTTCCACCTCAAAATAAAACTATTGTGCGTGATATCAATTACATCAATAGCTTAAAGTTATTCATCTAAAGAATAAAGAAGCAATATGATAGGAATTCTTTTGTGTCAACATAATCTACCAAAATACAGTAAACATCCTTTGACAACCTCTAAAGATCAGGCACGTGTCCAGGATTGTCCTAACTATATTATTCTACCACCCCGTCACTAGTCAAGGAAGCAAAATGCTAGTTTTCCACATAGCTCTTCAGCTCTATTAACTGCTTGCTTTACCAAATCAAGCTAAGGTAAAAGAGTGAAATAATTAAACAATGAACACATTATAATACTGTCTTCTTCAGTGGAGTTTGTTTTAAAGTCTATACATCTTTTGATCAAATAAAGGGCGGTATAGAAGAGCAAAGGTAAATTCTGAAAGGAAAGCTATTTCCTTTGTCCACTTAGCCTATCATACTACACATCCATAATAAAAATATTACAACCTATCACAATAATTTTAAAAGAAATCATTATTTTGCAGGGTGAATATGACCATAGTTACAAATTACAAAAATATTTTACCTAGCAAACAACTCCTGAATAGAGTTTTTATTGAATTATCGTATGCTGTACAAACTGCTTTGTATTGAACGGACTTTAAGAATGGAAGCAGGGCTGACTGGGCCCGTGTTCCCTTTCCCACACAGAAGGGCCCAGTGCTTTCTGCAAACTGAGCACCTACCATATGTTCCATCAACACAGACCAGGTCACCCTGTGAAACTCAAAAGTCTTCCAGGGAGGCATTTTCTGGGTGCAACCTTAATGAACTAATTACCCTGGGAAGCAAAAAAAAAAAAACCTTAGGAATCTAATTTAACCTTGTTCTGTGAAAGCTCAGTATGAAATGTCTTACAGATATCAAAAAATAAACTTTACATAGAAAGACTGTACAAATACAAATTTTATGTTGTGAAATCTTTCATAAGTGAAAATCAGACGCCAAGTTCATATCGCGTTTTCCGGGCTGGCTAAACATGGGTTTATCGCTGTGTACTTCGCTGTGTGAAGCATGTGTGCCGTTCCCACAGAATGACACAGATTTCAAAAAATAAGTATGATTAATTAGATAAGTGAAATGACTGATGCAAAAAGTTCCTGCTGCAAGCTCTCCGTGTGGTTACTTCCACGTGGTTAATATTATAAAATCTTTTAAAGACAATTTTTGAGACATACGATTACTTCAATATGTTATTTAAAAGAGAGAACAGGAAGATTATAACCCCCCCCACACACACACAGAGTTAATCTGCAGTAAAGAATATACCAGAATATATCCCATGGGGAAGTGATATAATGGATCCTTATAAATAATAGGACTGTTACCAATACAACAGCAGTAACAGTGACCTAGAAAAAGTCAAGCCAATTCATATAAAGATGCAAGCACCCACTTTGCATATGTCTTCCCCAGTTCAATTTTTTCTCGTTACACATTAACTTCAGAGTCTCCAGAGCTGACAAAATTCACTGTTAAGCTTCGGAGACATCTAGATAGCAAGCATAACAGGAGACATCTAGATAGCAAGCATAACAGTCGGAGGGAGACTGTAACACTTAGACATGACACTCTCTGAGATGTTGTCCACCTTGTCCTCCCCTTCATGTGCATTTTCCATAGGTGAAATGCACAGTGTTTCTGTCCCTTATGACAGTGGCTTAGGACATTCTATTTTATCTATAAAATGGGATTTCTACCCTGCAGTTCTAGGATTTAGTGCAGAACTGGGTTTGCTGTAAAGACTGGGGCATTCCCTTTATTCCTGCCATCACAGGACCGGAGGTTGTTTTTCCATGCCAATTACTGATTCTGCTCTGTAGTCCCCCAGACCATCACCTCAGGGCCTCAGATCACTGGCCCTGGGGCACTACCTGATTTCATGGCTGTTGATGGAGTGTCTGGAACAGGACTCTGTCTGGGCCACAGGTTCCCAGATGACAGGCTTAGACTAGAGCCAGCATGACCAGGCTCAACAGGCAGCAACACACCCTTAGGTCGGGGGGTGGGGGTGTTTTGCTTTTTATGGGATAAAAAAATAAAATCTCATTCTCCTTGGAGACAATTGTGTCCAGTTATCTATGCTTCCTAACCTTCTGCAAAGTAGACTGCTTCTAAAGGAGATTGCTTTTTCTCAATTCCTGGGATTTCTTCCCAGGTAGAGTACTTCCCTTCATATAATCCCTGTCTTCTGTCCACTTGCTCTTTATGCCTTGCTGGGCATGATCACTGAGTTACTTTCCTGGTGAGTTGGCATGAGAAACCTAGACCTTGCCTTGCCCTCATTTGGAGCAAGGATGACTCAGGGAGCATGATTCTGCTCTCTTCTGCCCTACCTAAGTGTTAGAGACAGATTTCTGTTCTCTGTGGGAGAAGGGAGGAGAACGTGGGACATGTAGAAATGATCCAAAAGATAAATCAAAATGTGCGTGTGGAAAAACTCTTTCTATGAGTGCTGCACATTAGCTGCATGGGTCACCAATTGACTTCCAAGCTATTGAAAAGTCAACTGGGAGAAAGATCTTTGACTAGTTACACAATTCACAGTACCCAGAGGATAGATCAATACAACTCAAACAAATACAACTATTCCCATACAATAAAGCAGAAGAAAGTTCCCTGAAAGGTGGATCAGAAAGAGGCACATGGCTTGTCAGCCTGGACATGGCCTAAGCCATGTCCACTCAGTCAGCCAACACTGAAGAGGCCATCACAGAGCTGCTCCTTAGCCATGCTCTTTATGGAACCCATGGTATTGCTGTTGGGCCAGTAAAAACAACCATGATTATTTGTGGGGAGGTGGATGAGCAGAGCGATGCAGGCTTATAATCCATGCATCTGTTTCTTTGATGATGGGGTTTAACACAACTATTGATACAGAATTCTACATGAGCAAACAGACTGTATCTGCAGGGAATTTGCTAAAGCATTTGATACATATTGGCAGTAATGCACTAGTGATTATATACCCTAGAAAGTACTTGGAATGTGACTTCTCTACCTTGGGAATTAATAGAGACCCAGTATGGTGGATGACTAAATAAAACACCAAGATGGGAATAATGGTGGCTTCTTCTTAGGGAAGCTCAGGGATCTGATAAGGACACTTTGGTGCAAAGAAGAGTAGCCAGGGTCCCCCCCACCTCCCACCAAGTGCACATGCAGGGAGTGGGGGAATCAGGTGTGAGAAAGCCAACCTGGATCCTGGTGTGAGGAGCGTGTAGCTGTCCAATATGCTGGGGGAGGGGGGTGGGGGGGAGGTAAAGATGTCAACAAGTGTGATCATTTAAACAGTTCTTACCACAGGTCGCTGCTCTTGCCTTAGTAACCGCTTCTTTGGAGTCCTAGCTCTTTTGCTCTTAATGAACACAGGAGTGGTGGTGGCAGAAGTGGCGATGACAGGTGTGGTGACGGCAGAAACGGTGATGGCGGGTGGGGTGATGGCAGAAGACGCAATGGCAGGAGTGGTGATGGCAGGAGTGGTGATGGAAGAGGGTGGTCTTGAAATGATGTCACTCTTGGACATCAGCTTGGTTGCTGAGAGCATTGGGGACCAACCAGCCTCTTCCCCCTTGGATAGTTTCTGAGGCTGGCACACAGAAAGAACCAATTTCGTTATTATCATTTACTTCAGATTCCAGTCTCTTCTTTTTCTTCCGTGCTCTAAGTTGGAATCACAGCGTTGAGATTTCTAGTCCTAGCTCCCTTACTCCTAACTCCACAATCGCCCCAGGCATGGACACTTAACATCTGCATATGGGAATGATATGGGATCCCTTTCCTCACACCAGACCTGTTTCTTCATCTATCCATAATTAGACACTTGTCCCTCCTTTCTGTTCCAACCATCAGTTTGTTGCTCTCCAGTAACCCTTTTTGTCCAACTTTTAAGCATGCTCTTCATCAAACTCAAGTGTTGGAAGTAAAAAGTCTTGGAATGGTATGTATAGATTCATCAACTCAGAAGCCAAACTAAGGCAAAGAAAATAAAAACCTAAATACAAACCTTAAGGATTATGCTGTCAAGTACTTTTCTTGTTTCTAAATCCTCTTTCTGTTTACCAACCTGTGAAATCAAAGGCCCATATCTTTTGTTATCACTTGCAAATGTAAAGAGAAATCTCTATAAATTTTCCTTAAGCAATAAAGGGAAGCATTTTTAACTATTTGACTGCCAAATCTCTTATGGAAATATGACATAATGTTAAATATGAGTTAGAAGAGAAGATAAGTTTATATCCAGAAAAGAGCACTTTAAAATAATGAAACAGATAAAAGTATAATTATTTAATCATTAGTATTTATATATTGTATATATTATCTTTATACTCTAATTTTTATACAAAATGGAATACTATTCAGCAATCAAAAAGTTAAACTCATGCTATTCACAGCAATATGGATGGAGCTAAAACAGATTATGCTCAGAAATAAGTCAGAAGGAAAAAAGAAAAATATCAGATGGTTTCACTTATAGGAATATAGGGGAACCAAATAAGGGATCAGGGGAAAATAATAACAATAAAACCCCCAAATTAACAGTCTATAATTCAGAGACATTCTGCAGGGAGTGGGAGGGAGAGAGATCAAAATGAGGGGGTGAGGGGGGAAGAGCATAAAGGACAATGGTGATGGTGCATGGGTGAATTGGTAGTGAGAATTCTATGGGCACTAGACCTGAGAAGAGAAAGCAATATTATAAAAATATATATATAAATAAATTATATTAAAAACACATGAAAAGACTTTCTTTGTACTATAACTTTCTTTCGGATGTATTTTTGCTAGTGAAACTTGTTACATTTTTTTGTCAACTAATTTTTTTTTCTTAAAGATGGTCAAAATGGATAAAAGCTAAGAAGCACCAGCAAGCGTGAGAAAATAGGGAACCCTGTGCACTGTTAGTGAGAATCTAAGTAGGTGCAACCATTATAGAAAACAGTATGGAAGTTCCTCAAAAAATGAAAAGGAGAATTATAATATGGTCCAGCAATTTCACTTCTGGGGATATATTCAAAGGAAATGAAAACACTAACGCAAAATATCTGCACCTCAATATCACAGCAACATGATGCTTAGTAGCCAAGAAAATGAACAATCTAATCATCCATTAGTGGATAAATGGATAAAGAAAGTGTGAGATATGGGGGTACACACACACACACACCCAGAATACTATTTGGCCATACAAAGAGTAAAGTCTTGCCATTTGGGATAAGATGGATGAGATTTGAGGACACCATGCTAGTGAAATAAGACACAGAAAGACAAATACCATATTTCTCACTTACATGTAGAAGCTAAATAACAGCAAAATAACAGGAAAAAAGCTCACAGATACTGAGAACAAGTTGCTGATTCCCAGAAAGGGAGGTGGGGAGGTGGGTCAAAATGAGGTCCAAACTCTCAGTAATAACTAAGTCCTGGGAATACAATGTACAGCATGATAATATAATTAACCATGCTATACTACATACTTATAAGTTGCTAGTAGAGGTAGATCTTAAAAATTCTCATCATAAGAAAAATTGTAACTATATGTGTCTGGATAGAATTAAATTTATTGTGGTAATTTTTTTTGCAATACATACATATATAAAATATACTGTCTACCTAAAACTAATGCAACATTATACTCAAAACAGATAAATAAAGATCAATAAGCAAAGGAAATCACAGCAAGATACAAAATTATTTTGCATACGTATCCAAAAATTTTAGATTAGATTACATCTAAAGGTATACTCCCTCCACAATTCATTGCTCAGGTGAACAATGAATATAGGTAATTGATTGACAGTGCCTTTTTATCACCAGTTCTTTTCTTTTTTAAACTAGCCCCTCAAGAGGCCAGAAAAGAAATTACACAGGAAAACAATAATAGACAAGCATAAAACAAAAACCCTTCCATGAAAAAGTTTTAAAAATTTTACAAAATGATTCTTGTCAGTTCCACTGAACCCCATGCTCCACCTAGGTACAATCACAAATTTCTGTTTCAGGAAAAATGTAAGAAACAAAAGAGGCACAAATAATCACAAAGCCACCTTCTTTCTGTTATTCTGGATGGAATAACAGAACACCTTGTTCAAGAGAAGGGCCCCGAATAGTGACCTCTGGGCTCAAAGATAACCCCTGCAAACCTTGGCCACAGGAAGTACCTTAAACACACACGACTGAAAACGTGAGCCTGAACATGACTTTTAAGCATACTGAATACTCATGCTGTTGTGGGATCTGTGATGCAAGATCTTGCTGCTTAGCAACAACAAACTTTCAGACAAAATAAAATGTGATTGGTTCCCCCATGGGTAATGCAATAGCACTGGTTAACTTAGTTCAAATAAAAAAGGGAAGCATTCAAAACCCGTAGGCGTGTCTGTTTGGTGTGTGGACCCCAACTGTGGAGTAGTTTAATTTCTTCTCCAGTGTTGAGAACAAACCGACAAGATAACATTTGCTTCTCGCTCTCTAAAATCACTGTCCACATTCATGACCACATGCATGCTTATTGTCTATTTTCAAAAACAACCCCTGGACTTTGGAGGAATGGCAGAAGAGGGTGGGAATGGAAGAAGTTGACAAGTATGCTCAAAAAGTGGAAACAATATTTATGTACCAGGTATTTTTAAAAGTAAAGTGTTCCAAGTAACATATTTGCTAACACATGGTCTCTGTGACTAGCTGACCATAATTGTTCTCTTAGCCGGCATTCCCCAGTTGGTTTCATAGAAGGCTTCATTGTTGTCCAGGAGCATTGTTTTGCATTAATTTCTATGACAAGGAACCCAAAACACATGGTGCTGAGAGTAACAAAACAGAGTTAGGGGAACAGTCATGACTTGGCACCAAGTGTGACAAGCTGTAAAAAAGAGAATGTTTCAATATCTGAAGTGGTGTGGATTTCTTATGAACAACCTTTTCTCTTCTAAACAGTATCATATTCTTTTCAAGCACATTTAGAACGCAAGTCAAGCTGTGTTTTATTTTTGATTATAATAAACACAGTCAGTTTACTGTAACAAAGACATACTAGTGGTGATCATTTGAAAGCCAAAGTACAACACCATAAGCTGGCCGGGGGGTAAAATGGGGGGGCAGTCAACTGATAAAATAAAAGACCAGCCGTCTGGAAAGTTCTCTTAAAAGAACATAAAAAGGCAGTGTTTTCTTATGAGACTAACACAGAATGCCAAAATATCTAGCTGGGTCCTTTTTTGTTGTTGTTGTCACATGCCAATTTGTAACTAAAAATAGCAAATTCTTAGAAATATTGGGCTTTCATATTTGTTTTTTAACTTCCACAAAGAAATTCAAAAGTGTTGTACGTGATTTAAAATGATGGTACTATTTCTTACAGAAGTCCTCTCTATATTCGAAGTATATTTGGTATAGTACTACTCAAATTATTTTCTTAAAATTATAATTTTAAAACATTTATAATCGTACATGTACTTAGCTTAGTGATAAAAGTGAAACAGTTCACAGTGAATAGTTATCGTAGTTTGTAAGACTTTCATATTAAAGTTTTGAATTCTAATTTATTAGGAGATAATGTAAATCACCTTACCAAATCTAGAGTTGATGACTTTTCAAGTTCGAGCTCATATGTTAATCTGTCTCTGGCACCAATTAACTGAAAGAGAACAGTACATTTTGATGATAGATAAGAAGACCTGAACTTCCTCCTCAAAAGTATTTAGTGAAACGTATTTGATTTTAAATATGATAAAAATGGATTTCATGATGATAAAAGAAAAATTAAATGTCTATAGATTATCACATAATAAGAATATGTTGTTATAATTATATAAGCAAGCAAAATATGTGTAGAAAATACCTATGTATTTACAACCTTCCTCACTCTACCCCACTCTAAAATGTGACATAGATTTATTATAATAAAGCAAACCCAAGTCTATGAAAAAGGTCACTTTGCTTTACTCTTACGTAATCCATTTCTCTTGTTTTAGGTTTTTGTGCTATATTAATGTGCATAACAAGCCAGATTCAACTGCAAAGAGCCACTGAAGGCATATACTACAGGGCCATTATACTTACATAGTATACGCATTAGTATTTTAAATGACTATTTGTCAGTTGTGTGTGTTATATACATGGATACAATTTATTTATTTACATTATATATATATATTTATATTACATCATTCTTCAATTTGTACATTTTTTCATCTTGTTTGTAAACCCCATGGATTTCCCACCACCAATTCACCCACATACAGGAATAAAACTTAACCCTTGGTTTTGATACCTGTTGAATTTAACTCATATGGTCATTAATTTAATAGACACATGGAACATCTACTAAGTGCCAGGCATTTTGTTTGGTTATGGAAATAAAAAGAATGAAATCAGGTCCTGTCCCTTGTAAAATCAGTATAAGAGAACAATCTGAAAAAAAAAATTACTCTAATACATGAAAAAAGTGCAGGGTTTCAGATATTTAAAGAGCATAAAAATCCACACAATATAACAATCATAATTATAACAAGCTATGCTATAACTATGTTAACTTTATGGAATATAAGAATCTTGAAGGATTTGTAGAAGTTCAACAAGTTGTGGAAG